TGAAAAATCCACCGTTGATCAAATTACAGTGAATGTTGATCACGTCGATGTCGTTCTCGATGTTGGCCTTGTGTGGCGCCAATGTCGATTGCGCGTATATTCGTTTATCGAACCTTAGTAACGCATTCAACGAATTTTCTACGTTGAAATCGACTTGACTGTTATTTCTCAAGATCAGTTTTATTTTGTTCAGATTCAAATTACCTTCGAATTCGATATTGTTTTTACCGCTCGCGCTTACTGCGTATTCGGATAGGTAATCGTTGATGGCTACGTATTCGTAGCTTCCCGGTAGTAAGCTTATGGTTTTGAGCGTAACTCCGTTATCCGTCGATATTTTTAGTTGATTGTTTTTTTCTTTGATGTTTCTAATGGAATTGTAAACGGGGAAATACTTTAATCCCAGTTCGTACTGCTTATTGCGATCGAGTTCATACTCGTAGTCTAGAGACAATTTGATGTCTGATTTATTCGAGGTGATAACGAACAATTGCTCTTTATTGGACATTTTTAATGACGTTCATATAGTCTTTTTTAGTGATGGTTTTTTTCTCCAAAAGCCGTTTTAATATGCCATTGACTTCGTCGTATTGTCTGTCCGATCGATGACCTTCTTTCATGGCCGCTAATATTATTTCTAATCTATTAACTATAGTTCATCGTTGTTATCTGGTAAAAAAGTTATACCTTGCCCAGATGCCACCATATCATCGAATTCGTCTATTTCTTGTATGATTGGATAATCTTCTGCATAATCATCTACATCCTCTTCATCATGTTCAATTACTCTTTTATATAGTTTAACTTCTTTCGATCTTCTTGTTTCGGGTCCCGACTTTCTTATTGCATCTAGAAATTTTGAGTATGCTACTAAATCCTTGTAATCGGCAATTTCAATGTCCTCGCCATTCATTAAATCTATTAACCCTCTCGTTAATGTGTATATGTAATCTTTTGTATCGATTTTTAATTGTTGGTGATTTCCCTAAATCTTATTCTAAAACCATTGAACAACAAACCCTTATCAACGATTGGTGAAATGCTCTTTGGTAAATCTGGCTCAGGGTTTGAAAAAAGACGTTTTATATCATTTAATGTCCTAATTATAACACCACTATATTCAATCGCTTTGGGGTGATGAGGTGTGGGTTCTATACGAGGTGTAGGTTCTAAAGCTAATTTCTTTTTAATATCTTCTTGAGATTTTAATATGGGTTGAAATAGAGTCTGTAGATTTTCCGTTAATCCGAGTTGTTGTAATCTGTTATTTTCAACTTAGGTCTTTATTTTATTCTTAGCTTTGATATATTCTCTATTTCCTTTTTAAAATATTATTCCAATCCGTCATTTTTAAAAAAATAAAATTTAACAAATGTCTGTCATAACTCTTTCACCCGCGGGTTTCTATTATTTACAAATACATATCCATGATCATCCGGGTTTCCCCATTGAGCTTTACAATCCTTTTTATCTCTGTCCATTCCGTGATTTATCGACTGAATGATTTGAGATAAATCTTTGTCGTTTAGTTCAAACAGCAAAAAACAATTTGCGTTCTTTCTGATAAACATGGCGTCCATTCCGTAGAAAGATTGGGGTTGATATATGCATTGACAGTTGTGATGTCTTCCCTTCGTGAAGAATTCTTGTTGAACGGTTTGTCTTTTTTGTGCTAAGCAGTCGTCAAAGACAATTAAGTTCTTTCGGTGGTTGTCGATTTTAGACAAGTCTAAATCGTTGACGTTTTTAGTCAGAAACACTTTGACGTCGGTCGGTTTCAGAGAGGGATTCTTTTCTTTGATAAAGTCGTCTAAATTGTCTTTTATTTCTGCGTTCTCTTGCAAGTCTTCGTTGCTTTCGTAGTAGTGAAAAATGTCTTGAACTTCTTCTTTCGAGATGTATTCCAAAGCTTTGAGAAACTGATAATAGGATTGTTCGGGAGTAGTCGTGTAAATATACAGAGACTCGAAATCTAAAAGGTTCGGTGTTGTCAACATGTTAAAAGTGAGGTAAGTCTTTCCACAACCCGAAGATCCGCAAATGCACATGAGCATCGGGTTGCTAGGAAATATGTCTGAATGTTTGAATTTCTTGCCCATTTTTATTTATTACATTTTCGTACCAAAAATCACCCCGTTGCCTTTATACTTTGAAACAAAGATTCCCTCGTCCGAACGTATGTTTTTAAAAAATATGGCGTTGCCCTTGTGTTTGACCTTCATTTCTCCGGTGTCGATATTATTTATTAATTTGCTTAATCCCTCTTTAACGGTTTTCTTGGTTTCTTCGCCAAATCTTTGTCCGAATTCTTTCACCGTCCCTAAAATATCTCCTACTCCCGAACCTCCTCGTGCTTCTCTTTCCATTGCCAAATTGTATCTACGTTCTTCAGCTGCTTTTACTGCAGCTGCTTTCTTTGCGTTGACAGCTTCGGCTATCCCAGCAGCCCCACCAGCAGTTGCTCCTGCTGCAGCTAAACCAGCAAAGATTATAGGTAAGAAAGGTAAAAATCCACCTTTTTTAGTTAAATTCTCATCAATTCTTTCCCAGTCTATATCGTCTCTGACTTTGCAATGTTTGTATTTATCGATAATCTTTTGGGTAATGTGCACTTTTTTACCGTTGTAAGTTATTAGAGTCGGCGAATTCGTTTCCATAGCTTCTATTATTTTCATAACTAAAGTTTCTGGTTTCATTTTTAAAGGGTGTTTTTTTATTCAATTCTTATCATTCTTCTATCTGATATTTTAATCAAATGTTTTGCTTCTTCCAGCAATAAACAATAGCCGGTTATATCTCCTTGTGTTTTATCGATGTGAATATTTATGTTTACCCCTGTTTTGAAAAGATCTTCTTGATGAGCTGACAGATCGAAACAAAAGATTGGATGATTGAGTGAAAAATCTGTGTATTCAAACTGAGGCGTATTTCCAAACAATTCGCACATGTTTTTATAGTTTCTGTACAATTCGTTGTAATCTTTTTTGGAAGGATCAATTGTCAAAGGTTGATTGGGATAATTATCGTTGTTCAATCTGACTTGAACTTTGCGAATGATGGGATTTTGAGTATGGTTCAATGCCACTCTGAAAATGTTGTTTTTGAGAGTCTGGCAAGTTTTTGAAACCGACCATTAGATATCTCGCTGGTTTGACGGTGTTAGTGATTGGCCACGTGGTGGATTCTCCCGTTAAAGTCATGCTACCTACCGTGTTACGACGAAGTAAAGCAATTTCGAAGTCTTTGGTTAAAGAGTTGAATATTCTCGTTTCCACTTCTATGGAAGGAGTGATTACCGGTATGTAAAGTTGGATATTCGTTATTTCCAATTTTGCGTCAGAGTTGTTTTCACCAAAGAATATCTTGTTGTCGTTGATTTCTCTTNTGCAAATGAATTTTATAAGGCAAACCTATGGAAACCTTTCTGTGTTCCAAATAAAGGTTACAACTTCCAAT